TCTCTATGGGTTCTTTAATGCCGAAATCTAAATAATTTGAAAACAATTTTATGGCTTCAATTAAATATATTTTGTCTTAATTACAATTAAATTGTTTTCCTGATCATGTATTGTCGGTCTTTATTATATAAAAAGGCATTGCTGGTAATTTTACTATTAAAATATATTTTTATACTTCACTAGATTTTTGTTTGGAAGGGGGTCATTATTTGCCCATAGCTGGGACCTTAACGGGTGCTACTACCGCAAGTCAGAGAGAACCTGGAAACAACTGCAATTAAGAAGGGTGAACGGACAGAAAACTTTACCAAAACAACCAAGAATATATAGTATTTAACACTTCCGCTGCTAACTAGGGAGATGTTCGTTTTTCTTATCTTGCTCCAGCTGGCTAAGTACGGAAACCTACGTTTTTTTTAATACCGCTGATATGAGTGTCCCGTTGCGTCAACTATCGTAAAATGACAAAGGACAATGCTTCAAAAGATATCATGTGTATACCCATTACTGATCTGCTAAGTCATTCCCAGGTATAGCCATGAAAATGGAATGCTGTAAAACACACCGGTGCCAGTTTTCTGTGTAATAAAATATGTAGGTTGAAATTTGGTATTTTCTTTAAAAATGGCTGGCCGGATGCGGGCAGCACTCGGCAAAAGAGTAGCAGTGAAAGTGTTAAGTAACATATAAAGTATAAACATTCAATGGTAGATACGACCAGGTTGAATATTCAATATTCAAGTATTATATAAATATGTAGAAGACAAGGAATGAACTCACTAAGAAACGACATAATGTTAAGATTGTTTGCAGAGATTTCTTCGCATTTATTCTACTGAGACATCTGTACAGATATCCTTTTCAGCATTCCCCATAATTCTAATAAGATCATTATACCAGTGGGAAACAATATTAATAAATTCTAGACTAGATTAATTGGTGTTATCTGAGGACATAGATGCTACCTGATAACCTCAAACATGATAGTCGATTCACTGTTGTAGTAATCCGTCAAATGTCTAATATGTTTATTGGATTACGAAAGCAGACAAGACTAAGTAGGTTACATATTCTATTGATGTAGATTTTTAAAAAAAATGTTAACATTTCAAAGTTTGGCCTTGTTATAACGGAAAAAGAAACTGAAACTAATTAATTTTAAGACAAATGAGTAGGAAATTTAATGAGACAAATATTTAAGACAAAACGTTTCCATTATTTAAAAAAAACAAATAAAAAATTTCAACTACCAATGAAGAGACACAAATACTAAATTATGCTGTAAACGGAAGCTTAGTAATAAATTGGCAATGTTTCATCAAATAATAAAATAGGAAGGAAAAGGCATTTCAAAAATTCATTTTAAAAAATGGTTCGTCCACGAATTTAAATTTTTAAAATAAATAAAAATATTAGACAATTGTTAAAATTCTGAAATTGGAATGGAAAAGGATGGAATTTCAAGATTTATTTTGTTTAAAAAAAATTCTTTTCTGAAAAATAAATATTTAAACAGGGGAAAATAGGAATAAATATATATACGAATATAGAAATATATATATAATAAATTTTCAATTAAAAGGTAACACAAATTAATTAAAAAAATAAAAAATATCTGAAGGAAAATTAATAAAAGGACATTGAAGTTTTATTAAATTTATTAAACCCTTTATTTATATCATATTATATACTTACAATAAATATATATAATTAATATTTTTTAATGTTAAATCAAATTTTATTTTAATTAAACTATTATATAAAAAACATTTTATATAAATTTTTGTTAATTTATAAATAACAATAAATGTTATATGAAACAATTATTATAAATATTATAAATTCAATGTTATATTTTTTTTATAAAAAATCATATTGACATTATACATTAAAATTATGTAATGCCTTCCTTAAATTTATAGAAAAATTTTTATATCATATTATATAAAAATTTATATTAATATTATATAACAAAAATATGATATTAACAATTATAAAACGATATATATTTCATATCATATTATAAACAAGAATGTTCAATACAAAAGCATTGTTTTACAAGAAATTAATATAAAAAATAAATTAGTGAATATATTTTTTTCAATTAAATTGATGTAGAAATCTCGTATAAATAATTTATTTCTGAGTTCTTAAAACTCAAACTCTGTAATTTGGATTTATCCGAAAAAATATCAAAACATTTGAGTTTCTTTTTGTCAGAATGGAAAATTATTACATTAAAAACTTAAAACGCCAAAGACAATAAAAAAAAAAGAGGGCCAAACAGGAACAGAATATAATTGTTTATATATAACTGGAATATTCAAACCAGCCAGGTATTATATTTAGATTAAAGAATAACAAAAATAATGTTAACAGTTTTATATTTTTTTGAAAAGTTTCATGAAAACCAAATTCAAAAATCATTCATGAATCATTTTAACAAAATTAAAGGGAAATTTTAATTTTAAAACAAACAAACAAAAGCGGATAATAAATGTATAATTTAGTGGACAAAGTAAAAGAAATGATGAAATCTCTTATTAAAAATTGTATGCTGGATAAAATGGATCAAGACAATGACAACATAATTGTTAAAAAAGACCTTATTCACGATTTTTACAACCTGATCAAACCCCAAAAATAAAATACTCTTCCAGAAGATTTTTTTTTTAAAAGTCTAATAAATGGATATATATATTATCTTGTGGTATATGGATAGCTTTACTAATTTTGATTTTAATCTGTGCAACAAAACTACTTAATGAGGTTACAGTATATCCAACATGAACTTTTTCAAGATATGGCATGATAATGGCATAGTAAGAAGATAATGGTACGCAACAGAACTGGTTAACAATTTAAAAAATTTTGTAAAATTTTTTGATTGATAGATAGATAATAGATTTAGATAGATCCAAATCAAATAGACAAGCGGAGAAATATATATTATTACTTTTGTGATCATTGAATAAAGCAATTTGAAAAAAGTAAAACCAAGAAGCATATAAAATATGGTTGGATACCAGATAAGCAAAATCTCAGAAGACAGAATATTTGATTGCATAATTGATTTTCCCACTAAAAAAATTATTTTCGCTGTTATAAAATTTTCTTTAAGAATATACAAGAGAAGAAAAAAAATGGATAATAAAAATTTTGTTTAATGGGTTTTTTTATGAAACAAAATTTTATACTTTATATAAATGAATCAATTATATATATCAAAGTAAATTAATGATCATTTTGAAATTATTAAAGATAGAAATTAAAGGCTTATGATTTTATAGGCCTTATTTTATAAATTAATAAATATTTTTATTCAATATTATAGGAAATTCCAAGAGTAATAAATGCAAGTTTTTAAACCTTTAAATAAAAAATATTTTGTATTTTATATATATCCTTTTGTGGGTGCCATCAGAATGACAAACACTGAATTTTTGGAGATTGTAACAGGATATTTCCACTAACCTGACATGGAAATACTGAACAATCATCCAAAAATGAAAATATGAATTTTGAATAAAGAAACAAGTGACCAAATGTTTTGATTTAATTACAGGATTCAATCAACAATGTATTTTCACTGATTATCTTGAAAGAGAAATTATTAACAAAATACTTAATTCCATTACTGTAAAATAAATTTAAAATGAATTTTGAAATTTTTGGGAAATGTCAGTTTATATCTTCAGTTAGAAAAGGCCATTTATAGAGGAAAAAATCTACATGAAATTTTCAATGAAAGTAAATGGATGGTCTGAATGGTTTTGAAGGAGCAAATCCGAGAATAAGGATGAAGAATTTTCTCCCAATAAAAGTTCTTCGATCTTTAAAAATTCTTGCTGATTGGGGTCGCGCATTTTCCTGATGAACATCTTTTCTTTTCGATT